CTCTCTAGACCTCAGTTTCCAAATCTGTAAAATGTAATCAAATGGCTCCTCCTTCACCACACTGCCTCTCAGAAAACACTCAACAAACAACAATGGTCAAATAAAATCCACTGCCGTCAAGTTGATTCTGACTCAGTCACACTCAATAACAATGGTAAAACAGAAGTAATTATTATGTATTGATTATGTGCAGGGGTTTGCAAACCTACGGCCTCTGCACCCCTACTCTCAGTATCTGCTTGTTCCCTACTGGTGTTGCTGGTTCCCAGGTACTGGAGACACTGCTTCCTACCTGGCTTTGGAATTACCAGTTGCCGCCCATTCTGACTCATGGTGACCCCATGTGTGTCAGAGTAGAACTGTGCTCCACAGCGTATTCAATGGCTGATTTTTCAAAAGTAGATTGGTATACCTCTTTTCCCAGGAGCCTCTGGGTGGACTCGAACTTCCAATGTTTTGGTTAGCAGCCGAGCACATTAACTGTTTGCACCACCCAGGGACTCTGCCTACTTTAACCCCTTGCCTGCTCATACCATCTGCATATAGAGAGGTGATGCCAAGAGATTTGAGCATCAGCCTAAGGACAAATAGAACACACTGCTGAGTCTCTAACTTCTGAGAAACAGGGGAAAGACTCCTTAAGATTCTGGTTATTGGTCTTCCCATATCAGTAAAGTGAACGGTTATTTTACAGATCCGTATCTCTCAGGAAACTGAGCAAACACTGATTAGGGAAAATGGGTAAAGGGATTAAGCATCTAGATGCCTATGCTGTATCTTTCTTATCTACCTCAATCCTCCAGGAATCCTCCTACACATATACATCTTTTAATCTTAATAATCATTATTTTCAAAAACATCTGTTCTGGTAAACAATGACGTTCCCAAAGCTAATATATTCCTCACCACCACATTATGTCCAAACACAGTGAAATGGTGCCCGCGTTTCTACAAACAGAATATTGTTCATTCGAACTACTGTTGTTGAGTCATCGAGTCGATTCTGATTCAGTGAAGAGCGGAACTGCCCCATAGCGTTTTCTAGGCTGTCATCTTGACAGCAGCAGATCACCAAGTCTTTCTCCTGCGGAACCACTGGGTGGGTAAGAACCACAAACCTTTCGGTTAGCAGTTGAGTGCTTAACCATTTGTGCCACCAGGGCTCCTTTCATTTGAACTACTGCCTTCTTTTTAACAGCAGGAATGGGGCTTGGGGTGTCTCTAACATCACTGGAAAAGCCCATAAGGGGTTCATTTCTGGCACTGCGTGAAGCCTGGAAACCCTGGGTTTGGTTGTTAAGCAGGTTGCTGACTGTAACTAAGCAGGCAGGTTTGACATAGGTGACACAAAACTGGGGTGCTCTTCCATTTCAGTGCGTGCAGCAAAGGACCTGTGAAAAGGTCCACTGACACCCAGACAGTGTCGAGATACAGGATGTCCAGCTCCATCTACATTTCTAGAAATCAGTTGGATGTCTCCCACCCCTCCTCCTGACTTCCTAAGTGATATGGCAGGCAGGGAGAAAATGGTTTGGAAAAGTATAGATACATTTTCCTCCAAAGGTTATCATGTTGCTTATTAGACAAAGTAGGCTCTATCAAAGCAGATTACTCATTACATTCTAAGTAATTCCTTCTTTCTTACTGTTACAGGTGTGCAGTTTCAAAAGAAAGCAACTTTCTTGCTAGTTAATTGTCACTCTCAACTATATGGTCAAGGGGGAAACCCTGAGTTATCTAGCAGGGGAAAGGGTCCTAGCAAATAATAGTGTTTTCTAACATTTGCTCTGTAAGTATGTGTGCGTAAGAGGTGACAGCAGATAAAACAAACTCCCCGGAAGAGCTGAAGAGGAAAGGAGGAAATGTCTAATATAATTTTAACCAAGGAGGAAGGAAAAGGACTACAAAGCATATGGTTAGGAAACCTGGCTTCAGAGTTTGAAAGATCTGGATTTGGGTACTGACCCTACCACTTACTATGCAACCTTGGAGAAGCTACTGGAGAAGTGACCACTTCATGTGACTAAAGAAGCCTGTGTCCTTCTCTGAAAAATGGGGAGCACGACAGTGTATTTTCCATTGGGTTGCTATGAGGGTGAAATGAGACCAGGCAAGTAAAGGGCATGGCACCTGGAACATGAGCTTTTACTATTAACCAGTTTGCCCTTGAACACCATTTTATACTAATACCATTTCACAACATTTACAGAAACTTACTATGTGCTAGGCAGTGCTGAGCTCCAGGTTTCACAGTAGAATTGACAAGTCTCGGGTTAATTATATTAATAAAGCAGCCTTAAAGTTGCCGAGCTTATTCCCTCATCCGAAAAGTGGGATTACTAATACTGTCATAGGTTATTGTGAGGATTAAATGAGAAAATGCCTATGAAGGGTTTAGTTTACAAAGTATGCAAGAAAAGTTAGATACAGTAAAACCTCCGAAAGTCGAAACCTGTGTAAGGCGGAAACCTGTCAGAGAAGAAAACACAAAATATTTTATACTAAAACAAGCAATAGAAAAGTAGTAAGACTGTACCCTGTCAAAGGCTGAAAACATGCAAGACCCAGAAAAACAAGGCAGTCCCGCTGAGTTTCGGCTCTCAAAGGCCTCACTCTATTAACATTAAGGGCAAGTCCCACTTACCTTGGTAACAAAGGGGAGGGTGAGAGGGTAGACCTCAATCTATTTCCCTCCCACACATTGGAAAGGAGCCCTGGTGGCAAAGTGGTTAAGAGCTCAAGCTGCTAACCAAAAGGTTGGCAGTTCAAATCCACCAGCCACTCCTAGGAAACTGTATGGGGCAGTTCTCTTCTGTCCTACAAAGTCGCTATGAGTTGGAATCAACTCAATGGCACACAATAACCCATTGGGAAGGAGCCCCGATAGCACAGTGGTTAAGCACACGGCTGTTAACTGAAAGGCTGGCAGTTCAAACCCACCAGCTGCTACCTGGGAGAGAGATGTGGCAGTCTGCTTCTGTAAGGATTTACAGCCTTGGGAACCCTATGGGCCAGTTTTACTCTGTCCTATACAGTCACTATGAGTCAGAATCAACCCAGTGACAATAGGTTTGTTTCAATTTGTTTTTTGTACCCATTGGGAAATGAAGTGGATGCTGCCAGTTCTTGCATCCCTGGGTCAGCCTACACCAGAACAGCTATAGAATGATCCAGCAGCTCAAGTACTTGAAAGCAAAGGTGATTAAAACAGAGAAAACCAGTGGGGCTAGTGGTTACCCTTGGGAAGGATAGTGACTGGCAACCCAAGGGGGTTGTGGGTGCTGGGAATGTTGTTTCTTGATCTGGACGCTGGTTACATGGATGTGTCTGATTCATCAAAATTCAAAAACTTCTACAATTTTATGATTTGTGCATTTTTCTGTATGAATGTTACACTTCAACAAACTTTTTTTTTAATGTGACCACTGTGCCCCCTCTCCCATTACCTAAATAATAAAGCAGCCCTTCCCAATGGGTGCACCACAAATGGGTTACAAGCACATGAAGTTGGTCACCTCTGGAAGCAAGTTGCTTCATCAGTTTACTTGCAGGAGCTGTACAGATACTACCATTTTCTGGTTAAGATTGGAAAGCACTGCTCTAGAGTAGCAAGTGAACAATACCCTCCTCAATCATGCTGTATAAGAGTTTACTTTCTGTAAGCTTTCTCCACCTAAGGTGAATTTCATTTACTCAATTTTTAATTAGATTCATTTATCATCTCCCACAAGTAAAGGAAAGAATGTACTACATTTAAGGGTTAACACTCCTAGACTGCTCTTTACAAAACTGAGTTGTTTGGAACCCTTATCCATTGCTGGTAGGAATGCAAAATGGTACAGCCACTGTGGACAACACTTTGGCAGTTCCTCAAAAGGCAGAACACAAAACTACCATATGACCCAGCAATTCCAATCCTAGGTACATGCCCAGAAGTGAAGGCAGGAACGCAAACAGAAACCTGTACACCAGTGTCCACTGCAGCACTTTTCACAATAGCAGAAGGTGGAAAGAACCAAAATGTCCATCAACAGATGAAGGATAAACACCATGTGGTCTATCCATACAATGGAACACTACTCAGCCATAAAGAGAAATGAAATCCTGATGCATGCCACATGGGTGAACCTTGGAAACAACATGCTGAGGGAAACAGGCCAGCTGCAAAAAGACAAATACTATATGATCTCACTTATATGAAATAGGCAAATACATAAAAACAGAAGATTATTAGTGGTTACCAGGTGGAAGAGAGGGGGAAAGAGAAAGTTTATACTTAGGGGCCATTACATTTATGTTAATGGTGGTAGGATGATTTGAAAAAGGATAGTGGGAATAGGTGCACAACTTGAAAAATGTAATCAATGTCAGTGAACTGTACATGTAGACCTTACTGAGATGGCATATGTTTTGTTATGTATATTTTCGCAATAGAAGAAATAAATCTGCATGTTGGTCTTTCCAGTAACATCTCGTACCTTACTCTTCACTGATAACTCAATAGCTAAAGGTGCAAATGTCTGGTGTATTCTCCCTCTCCCCCAATTCTAATCTCCTCCAATTCTCCCCCCAAGTCAAGTCAATGGATGCAACACAGACTCTATGCCGGTTCTCTCTTTGAAAGTTTATTATTTAAAAAAAAAAACAAAAAAAAAAAACCCTATACTTTTTACATTCACCTCCCAGAACACTTAATGGTACCAGCTAATGATGTTCTATAAAAAGTCTACCAGCTGCTTGAACGGCTACACATTTTTTTTTTTTTTTTTTTACCGTGTTCTGGTATTAAAGTGGTGGGAACTCTTTGGGAATTGGTGTAACATTAAGTACTGAGATTTCAAATACCCACATTAGAAATAAAATTTTTAAAGGAGGTAATTACTGAATGAAAGTTCAAGGCTGAAAGGAAAGATTAATAGGAAAAAAAAAATATTGTTAAAAAAAACAGCCGCTCCCCCACCCACAGTTAGGTTTAAAAAAAAAAAAAAAAAAGCACCCACCCACCTCAGCCCCGTATCTCTCTCAGCAAAGCCACCCGGTCCTGGACACAGGGTCTCAAACACAAATACATGTACTCTGATTTGCAGATCAGCCTCTGGGATCTTAACTGGCCCCAGTCAAAGGTTTAAAAAGAAAAATAAGGTTAGGTAGTTAAGACATCCATAAATACTGGTATCCAAACAAATGAAAACATCCTGGCTTTGGTATGGCTACAGAAATCTATCTAGAAATTGTTGAAAAGGACACTGGCTTGGGTGGAGGGGTGTGACAGAGGTACACAAAAACCTCCCATCAGAGGTAAAATAAGTATCGGGTCATATCCATAGCAAACACTTGAGACAAATATAATACGTGAAGCAAACGTCCCTAAAAAAAACACAAGTACAGGTTCTTGATCAGAATTGTCTGGGCCAGACTTTCTCAAAGTGTAACTTGCAGGAAAAAGTTTGAACGTGGGAATTCATCTGGTGGCCCAGGGTCTAGTGAGCAACAAAGATGTTTAGGAACAGGGACTGGCCACCAGGGCTAACAGTCAGCTCTTCTTACTGTTCTATGGAATCTCAGAGTCTGTTTACCCCTTTGAGTTAGCCTCTGTCCACCACAAAAGTATCTCCACCTACTATCAAAAGGGCTTCTCCTGCCCCTCGTCACCACAGAGGCCTGCAACAGTGGTTGAGCTGCCGATTTTTCATCTCTGCAGTGACTAAATAAAAAGTGAAATCTTCTGGGATTCAGAGTATAATTTGCTATGCTGTGTCTCAAGTCCACTTAACATTTTCCACATTCCCTAGGCCATGATGAAAGTGAGATATAGGAGTTGTGAGGACGCTGAGGAACAGAAGGCAGTGATGGGTGGGGACCATGGCTTCAAACACCCTTAGAAGATACAGAAGAGAGACAGCAAAAGTGCCCAACCCTGGTCTTCAAACAGACAGTCACACTTCACAAAAGCAGAAAGGGGCCACCAGACAAGGCAAGAAAAGACAGGCAAATTGTTGCTGCTTCGATGCTGACCTTCCCAGTGGTTATCAGTACAAGCTTTGGTATATTGTTTAAAAGGAAAATGATCGTTAAAAACAAAACAAACACCAACACCCTTGATGGCAAAACATACTTTATATATTTAAATCAATTTCCATCACAGGGCACTAGCTGATAACCGATAGCTACCTGGTATTATGGGATGTCACACACACCAGAGTGACAACTCAAGTGACAGAAGTCCTCCCTTACAGCAAAGGTGTCAAGAAGAAACAGTGAAGCCCCAGTTCACCATGGACTTGGTTCCCTGTCTGGAACATCATCATAATGGGGGTTGGAGAGCAGAGAAGAAACAGAACGCCCAGGCAACTTCTGATGAACAGTATCATTTATCCTATTTTCTATCTAAGATGCCAACATGGCGGGAGGGGGGGGGACAAGGGTGGGGGAAATGGATTATAAATTACAACAAAAATATATCTGTATAAATCTTTACTCTGAGTCAGTAAGGTTTGGACTCTGTTGAAGCCAGGACTCAAGAGAAGGGGATTTACTTGACACCATGGCCCTCCAACTTGCTTCAGGGTGTGTGCATCAAGGACAACACAAGAACAGCTTGAGACCGGAGGAATTACTTACAAAGATTTCCCAGGATGTGTCAGCTCTACTGATTGCCCATAGAGATGCTAACAAAACTGCTCTAACCCCAAATTCCTTCAAGCTCTCAAGATGGCAACTAGAGCAGACAAAAACCCCCTACCCAATGAGTCATTTCTCCATGTATGGGAACGAGGGAAGGGCGCCGAGCCTGGATGGAGGGCCCTTGCATCTGGATTCTTTAGAAACAGTGTAAGTTTAGTGGCAGCCATGGCAGAGGAGCTTTCCTTCTCTTCAAGCTGGGCCTGATCTCCTGGCAGGCTGGGAGTGCTGAGGGCCTGACCACAAAGTTCCATGGGTCTGGAGTAGCCGACATGCAATAATGGCACCAGCAACACAGTGAAACCTGGATTGTGAGTAACAGCCTATAGATCACTGATTATTGTACTATCAATCTCTTCTCCCCACCTACGACAGATAACCCAGATAATCAGCCTGTGGCGTGTCCTACTTCATCTACTTGGGAACAGGGGAGAGAAATGAAATACAAATGAAAACTTCTGAAATGACCACTTCCTGGTTCCAGCCTGAGCTAGGGCAAATATGTTTGAATAAACCACCTGCATTAAGTAACATTTAAAATATTAGCAACTTCAGCACATTACAAATATGACATTTCCCCTTCCCCCAACCCCATTCACTTCACTACACCGTCTCCAGGCAAATTTTCCCGTTGCTCAGCCAGTGGAATGGATGGCATGCACCAGATGTTACACGAGGCATTTATTTCTCTGAGAAGGCAGAGAGCCAGGAGAATTAATCTCCTTCTGCTAGGACCTCTGCCCAAAGCTTCTGGGGAAACAGTGAATTGGGCTCGACAAGGGAAGTAGCTATGTAATCCACTAATCAGATTCCCAATGTGAAAATGCACTGTAGAGTGTATCTCTTCCCGCTCTTCTTCACGGTAGAAAGACCCGAAGATAATTAACAAAAGAGCTTTCCCTTCAAACTCAAAGGAGCTTTAAAAAAAAAAAAAAAGTTAAAGACAAAATACAAGCAAAAAATAAAGAAATAAAGGGACAGTAAATCAAACCCCAGTACTCCTGAATGTAAAACAGTCCCATGGTGACGGATGTCTGGAAGTCAAGACAGGCAAGAATGACACCGAGATGGAAGCGGCCAGCCACCCAAGTGTCTTGCAGAATCCTCAACAGTGTTCTCCATTTTCCAAGGCCGAGTAGCTATTCCCAGTGAGTTAAAATTTTTCTATTAAGAAGACAAAACAAAAATAAAAACCACTCCAAAAAAAGGGTCAAGGGGAGAACACTGTAGAAAGTCAAGCCGCTGACCGCCGGCGGATCACAAAGAGTCCACGCTGAAGTTGGCCCAAGTAGATCCTCATCTTTGTGCTGTCACTTGTCTTCCTCACCCAGATCTGCACGACAGAATACAAAAAGGGAAAAAGATGATAGGGACTAAGAAATACTGAGGAGCAAATCTTGCATGAATTAGGTGTGGGCAGAAAAATCTTCCTTGAATGACCGCTCAGCTCATGAGGCTGTTCTCAAGCACCTGTCACCTGTGGTCCTCCCAAAGCATACCACTCACATGCAGAGCAGGAAGCAGCCCTTGCACTCATCCCTCCCAGTCACCTCTCTATACCTCTGAGTCAGAAAATGGAAAGCACACACATCTTGGACTCCATTGTTGCCCTGATCTTAAGGACTCTTTGATTTGGTTTGATTATAATATTATCAACATTCAAGATACATATATTCATGAAAATAAACTTTCAATCAAACTTGAAAATATTTTCCTTGTCCCAAGGGACTTCCATGTTATAGCCTTTCAAGGCTCTAGTTTGCTGGTAGTCAAGGCTGATGGTGGTGACAGAAAAAGAAGGAAAAAAAAGATACCCGTGACTGAGTAAAGGCCCAATCAGGATCATGAGAAGGTTGAACAGTTTAAGACAGTCCTTCCTTCTGCCCCATTCTATTCTCCCCCACACGGTATCAGATTTCTTGCACTTTAGAGGGTAGATGATGTATTCTTCCATGAAACTGAGAATGAACTCTGGCAGCAGGGGGAATGCCGGTGCTGAAAGCTGCACTCAGTAAGTGGCATCCCTGCAGGTAGGGATGGGACGACGTGCTCCTTGCCTGGTGCTTGACACACCTATGCAAGGGTTGACTGAGCTCTTACTGTGTGCCAGACACTGTGCTGTGCATGCTTGGCTTCTTTATCCTCAGAACACCCCATGAAGTAAGCACCACCATCGTCTCCATTTCACAGAAAAAGGAAACTGAAGCTCAGCAAGGTTGAGCCACTTGTCCAGATGTAAGTCCTGGCACCTCACATCAAAGGCCCTTGCTCTTCTCCGCTAAACCAGCCCGTATCTTTCTTACCCCGACTCTCTGTACCGTGCAATAAAATGGAGTCATACACATGGGTTTTTAAAAAGGTCTGCATCTCACCCATACATACAAGGTACAATTTTACAGACGTATCTCCTCCCTCCGCCACTCGGTTTTCAGGTTCTAAATAAGCTTATTCTCAGTTTCTTTAACGTGATTATTTAGCGACAGACTTTCAAGTCAAATGCGCTGGTTTAAAAATTTAAAAAATTAAAGACCTCAGATAAAGCTGAGCCTTTAAAGGACGTGGCAGAGACATTTTAAATTGAAGAGTGAGCCCAAGGAGGGGTTAACCCAGCCACTGCTGCATACTCAGACCAACTCGCCAAACCTGTCCACAGTCAAGTCATGCAGAGGCCCAGTGACTCCGGTGTCACTTAGGATTTGACCTGAAAAATGAGCTGGGGCACTTTTGAGAAGTGAGGAATGTTTCCCCAGCCCCAGACTCACATGCCTCCGATGCACCGAGGCGTCTCCCTCCAGGAAACAGGTCTCTGTGTCACCGTTTCCTTGTCAGACCACTCTGACACTCTATTATGTCAAAAACTGACAATCTTCAACAGAGAGAGAAAAAAATCTAACTTGTACTCTTATTTTCCTGAAAAACCCTGAAGTGTCACAAAGGACAATGATGCACTGGTTCTAAAGTGAGGCTCAGGTACTGGGAGGTCCTGCTTGCTCTGCAGAGCACCACACAGGGCCAGGCACGAGTGCTCCATCGTGAAATCACGCCACCTCTTGGCTGAGGACCAACAGGTCTCTCTATTAGATCCCCTGGTCTGGTTGTCACTTGGCTGGAGGTGACCACATGGCTCCTGAGCCTCGGGCAAAAATAACGTTTATTTTGCAAACGAGTCACATTTGAGGGCATTTTCAATTCAGGAAGCTGGGAGAATAAAAGAGGCTTAAGTTATTTCATAATCCAGTTTCATTAGATTGACTGTGCACTGGCACGAATAAGTTACAGAGGATAGACACGTAAAAATCAATTTCTTGGCAGACATTTGTGGACTGATAAAAGATCGAGCCAATCCAGCTATTAAAGTTGAAAACTTTTTTAAAACTGCTAACAAGTTACACAGTGCTGACATCCTGCTAATGAAGGGCCAGTTAGAGGACTCACAGGGCAGCCACATACTCCTTGAGCGTGACCCTCTGAACTGACTTTAGAATAAATACCTTCCTATGGGAGTGACTCGCAGAGGCCAATACCCACAGGCACAAGCGTGGGAGTTTGGTGTTCAGAGACACAACAGGACATGCCAGACTGGAAAGAGAACAAGCAAGGAGTAGAGTGCGGGCCTGATCAAGCAGGCTGGAGCTCCAAAGCCAGCACCCACTCACTGAGCCTTTACTCTGTGCTCAAGTAAGTCATCAGCATGCCAGAAGGCCAAATTCAGCCCTTAGTTTTGGTCATTTACTCAAAAAATGCTCATTAAGCACTTACTGTGTACCACGGACTACGCTGGATGTTGAGGAAACAGTGAACAAGGCCACCAGGTCCTTGCCACCACAGATCTTCATATACAGTGGACGTGGGGAACATTAAATAATCACACTCTGGCAAGTGCTAATGAGGTAAAGTTCAGAGTGTCATGGCGTTTGCCGAAGAGCATCTAATTTGGCCTGAACAGTCAGAAAAGCTTCTTCGAATGGAGTGGACAAGACAGATCCTGGGCCAGACATCTCCACATGTGTCATTTAATCCTCACAGCAAGAAACAAACCTACTAATACATATGAAAATTCTAGAGAAGTAGCAAACCAAAGATGAAGCGCACGCCACAGGCAAGCTCCATCCTGAGTGGACAGATCCCTTAAAAAGAAGCAGGGTTTGAACGCACAGACATCACACAGACTTGCCTTTTGGTCTTTCCTGAGTCTACCTCACTGGTTCCCAAGTCAATTACTGTACAGGGAGTTCACAAACACCACAAGGAATACATGGATCCACATAAACTGTAGTCAAGCAATAGAAGAGATTTTCAAGAGTGATTCTGACTATGTGCAATTTCTGCCAAAAGTGCTGACTTCAGGATGTAAGAAAGCACATGATTCCACTGTACTTTCTTGGTGGCATTTTCAGGTTTGTCATATTTTAAACACTTCACAGAGCAATTTTTTGCTATCCTAAAGGGTCAAGGGTGTGTCCGTACCTCATTGGCTCCGACGGAGCTGATCACACAGCTGAGTTTCTGGTTGTCCTTCGACTCCAGGTAGATGGCTTGGCTCTTGTGGTACCTGCCGAAAACAAGGCACAAATTAAACGCAAACACAAAATAGAAAGAAGAAGGGGGAAAAAGAAAACCACAACAAAAAATTATAAGTAAAGGAGTCTTAATTTACATTTGAGGAAGACTCTGGGTTTCAGAAGGTGTGGTGTAAGTTAAAGGCGTCTATCCTTGGATTAGATTACATGGTCTCTTCTTAGCTTCTGGATCTAAACCTTCCATTCATTAGTTCCCTCTGCAGAGGGCACACGGGCAGCTGAGGAAAGAGTTGGGAAACTAACTACAGTTTTTTTTTTTTTAATTTAGACAATATGACCCTGTTAAAAAGTAAACTAAAAATTTTAAAGTAAAACCCATGTTTCCACTTCCTGTCCTCACCCCAGAACACTGAAGAAGGTAGGGTAGACACAACAAATAGGTAGATGTAAACGAATGTCCTGGTAGTTATTTTCTATTTGCCCAAATAAGTCACCAACAAGCAAGGCCAAATTCAGCCCTTAGTTTTGGTCATTCACTCAACAAATATTCACGAAGCACATACTGCATACCACTGACTATGCTGGATGTTGTGGAGACAGTGAACAAGGCCACCAGGTCCCCGCCATCACAGAGCTTCAAATACAGTGGGGTGAAGAGCATTAAATTATCACATTCTGGCAAGCGCTAATGAGGCAAAGTTCAGGGTGTCATCATGTACAGTGAAGGGGCACCTAATTTGGCCTGGACAGTGAGGAAACCTTCTCTGAATGGAGTGGACAAGACAGAGGCTCCCCTTTCAGGCCCTGCATCTACCTCTTCCCTGCAGTGCAGTGTGCCATGCGCAATTTCTGCAAGTTCAGGGACAAGGCCAGGGATGAAGGAGAGGAAGCCAGGGCCAAAGGCCAAATGGGACAATGACAGCTGCCACAGGACGCAGGAGCAGCTGCTGAATTACAAGCCTGGAAATATCAGCTGAGCTGCTGCTGGCAGCACTGGCCTGGGCCAGCCCCAGTTCAGTCAAGACACAACCTTTAGATGATTCTGGTTGCACAGATCTGGTGAAACACACCCACTGACTCATGCAAATTCCACCCAAACCCATCTTCCAGCAAAGCAGTGCATCTTATTATATTTCTCTGGGGGAGGAAGGCAGACTCTTTTGCTGGTATAATGAAATAACCTACTGCCGAGATATCACAGCTAAAGGACGTATGTACTTCACTCCCACAATCAGCTTTTTCCAGTCTAGGTTCTGAGCGCTCTTTAACCTGCTAAGTAGGAGCTGAAAACTCAGGTTTCCAAGTCAATTTATTCCCTGAAAACACTGTTGTTAAAAGAAATCGAATCATAAATGCAATTAGAACAGTGAGATTGGTTTGGACCCAAGCTTTAAAGCTGCTTTTGGCCATAGATTAGTTGGTAAACTGGGTCAGGGGGCCTTCATTATGCTGAATATGTAATGTCACAAGGTCTGAATTGTAGGATGTAGGAGGAAAGGCTGAATTAGTTCACAGCCAAACTCTAACTCTGACACTTCTTTACCTTCTCTCCCACATCTAAGCCCACTATTCCATGTAAATAGTACTGTCCTAAATAATGGTTAGAATAAAAGTACAAAGGGAGAAGAACATTCACAGTTAATCTATGGGGACTGTGAGTTATTAAAAAGATAAAACACAAAACAAAATGCAACTAGCCTCAAGTCATTCTGATACTACTTTCTAAATATTTTAAAAAATAAAAGGCACAGGTGTGGTGTAGAATTATATTACTACCGTGAGCACACGCTCAGTATAGTGCTAAGCGTAAAAAAAAGACCATGTCCATTATATTCCTGTGTTTGTAATGAAATTTATACACATAACATATGTATCATTCATATATATGAAATTGGGCAAATCTACATATTAAAATATTTAAGTGTATATTAAATGCATATTCAAATTTTATAAAAATATAAATTTAAAACGATATTCCTTTTTTGGCACAGCTGACTTTTTCTAAAATAAATAGGTACCACTCATGCAAAAAAAGTAAATAAATATTTGCTTGTAAGTCATGGTATTGCAATGGGGAAGGAACAATTCTGAAAAGGAGGGCTAAGAATGGTTACACAATTTGATGAATGTAATCAATTCACTGAATTGTATGCGTAGAAACTGCTGAATTGGTATATGTTCTGCTGTGTATACAACAACAAAAAATAAATTTTAAAAAGTCAAGGTATTGGCCTCACGCCATATACAAAAACTACTTCAAAATGGATCAAAGACCTGAATATAAAGCCTAAAACTATAAAGTTCATAGAAGAAAAAATAGGACCAACACTACAGGCCTTAATACATGGCATTAACAGGATACAAACCATAACCATCAACACACAAAACCCAACACATAAGCTAGATAACTGGGATCTTCTGAAAATCAAACACCTGTGCTCTTCAAAAGACTTCACCAAAAGAGTCAAAAGACAACCTACGGACTGGGAAAAAATTTTTGGACAGTACAAGTCAGACAAAGGTCTAATC